TGATGTATAACACTTAGGGCATAAAGCAACCATGTTATCACCTTGTTTCTCAATTGCTAAACCCAATAACTTCTTCTCATGTGCTTTTTCTTCAGCTTTATTCTTTAATTTAGGTTTAAATTTCTCATCAAAACAGAAGAAATCAAATGGTGCGAATTTGAAAATGTTTTTATCATAAAATTGTTTATCGGTAACAATTGCTTGAAATGCTTGAGTGTTAGGAAGATTTGGGTCGCCAGCGATTGCCCAATAAGATGAATCAGTATCACCTTCAATGAAATGAAAACGATTAACATCATGCATTTATACATAAAATCATAAATGAAAACCAAATACCAGTATTTAGCATTATCTAAAGTGAAGAATGCCTCTTGTAAACATGTATCACATCTATAAAATCTATCTTTAAGCATCACTTGATATGTATCTTCACCTATTTCTCTTATGTTTTTAAACTTATTTGACATACATGCAACGCGTGCCTTCTGTGCATTCATTATTTTAGTCTTTGCGTAATTTTGTGTATTCATTGCATCGTAACCATATGATCCATTAAGTGAAATCTTGCAAAATAAACTTTTTCCTTTATTTCCTTCTAATTCAGCCTTTTGTCTTTCGTTCATAAATTCGTTCGCAAATTCATTAAAACAAGTGTTTTTCGTAAATGTTAAAATTGATTGAATATCATCGATGATAAAATGAAATCTGTCTATTAGATACCAAAGATAATAAGAAGAAAATGGTTGATATTGGTTGTGTGTTGATGCTAACTGAGTTAATTTCCTCTGTTTCTGGTCAACTGGTAGATTGTTTGATTTCATGTAATTATACATAAAACTGCCAATTGTTTTTTCATCTGTGATAATATCTAAGTTTCTTATTATCGGTAAAAAGTTTATGTAATCATTAATGTATTTTTCATCAATGTGACCCTTTACTTCAGCCACGAATAAAGTATTTTTCTTCTTAATTATTCCCAGTGCTTTTGCTTTCTTTGTTGCTGTATCACAAATGATAACACCATTCAATCTTCCCGGCATATACATTTTATGGTCAGTATATTGAATGAAATCATGAGGATTAGATGAAAATGATGAAGGATATAATGAATTAAAATCAACACCAACGAAATGAGTCATAATGTTGGAAGTGTCCTCATTTGATACAGTTTTAGTTTCTGGATTATATGAAAGTTTATTTAATGTGCGTGATTCCTTTAAGATTAACACGATGTTGAACATTTGATAGACCACCAGTAATTCCATTACGGAGAATGTGATAAGCTTCAACTGAATCTAAAGTCATTGGTAAATTATTTTTTAATGCATAATTTCTTAAATTGATTCTTAAACGTTGAACATCTTCATCTTTATTTGATTTTACGATATTGCAATAACAACACATTAACTGACAATTTTCTTTGGTATGTGGTTTTTCATTATCGATTCTATCCAATGTTGGTTTATTTGCATATGTAAACGCTTTACCACACATTTTGCATTTAGATGAAAGGATTAAATCGTGATAGTATTGAAAATCATCCATTGAAACATTATTTTTAGTATCTCTTTCTGCTTTTTCATCTTGTTTCTTATATGATTCAATTTTATATTTCCAATACTTTTTCGTTAATTCAAAACTTGATTCTATCTCTTCCTCAGGATATTTTTCATTAGGATTAAAGTCTTTATATGCTAAAGCGTAACGAATCATTGAAGCATTCGATGATAAAGAAAGATTATGAAGCATATCAATTTTATAAACAAATGTTTCTTCAATAATTTTATCGATTGGGTCAATCATAATTTCAACATCTTTATTGCAATAATGAATAAAATATTCTAATCTATTCTTAAAATTTTTAGCATCATTGAGATATATTTGATAATCACTATCTGATATAGTTTCTTGAGTTAATGCTGAATAAAATGAATCTTGAGTGAATGGTTCCACTTTATATAATTCTTCTTCGTAATTTTCCCACGTGATGAATTGATAAGGGAAAAAGGATTTAACACGTGAGTTATTGTTTCCGAAATCTCGAGTGAATTGGTCTAATGTCCCACCCGCTATATAATTTCTGATGTCAATAAATCTCAATTCATATGGAGCGTTTGTTTTCTTTACAATGACTTGCTTAAATTGTGAAGATGAACCCAGCATTGATTTTATTTTCCATTTTGCAGTGTTTAAATCACGAAGAATTAAATTTAAATCAAACTTTCCCGAATTAAAACCTATGATATTCACTTTATTGAATTCCTCATCTAGAAGTTCTTTAAATGCTTCCTTCTGTTTTTCATTTAATGTATGGGACAAAGTCCCCGCCGTTTGCGGCTTCAATAATTCTTCATATTGTTCAATATTTGATTTAGCAACTAATGAACAGGTTGAAAATAAAAACTCAATCCAATCAGAAATAAAAGAATCACTTGAAGTTAAGCAAAAATTCCTCGTATATGTTTTATCGTTTAATTTAACCGTTGATGATACCATGAATGGTTTTAAGTAAGCGTTCAAAGTTGCACACTCAGAAAGTTGTAATTCTTCTTTAGTCTCTAATGTTTCAAAGTCAAAAGTAATATAATATCTTGTCGGTTTATAATATTTCTGCAAATTGTGAGCTAATAACCACTGATATATCTTCTGTTTCGTAATATGTGGTGCATATGGTTGCTGGGTCTTTTGCAATTGAACGTCTTGAATTAATCTTCCATTATTTTCTTTACATTTCTCACAATGCTTTAAAAATCTTCTTTGGTTTTTCCTTTCTGGATCATCACGGATAGAATAAACTTCTTCTTTACAATATGGACAAACTTTATAGCCGGTGAGTGCTTCAACGTCTGTTATTCTGTCAGCGTGAAGTTTTCCACATGGACTCTGTGTTAATAAAATATTTACTGTTTCAAATTCTGGATCTATCATTATTGATTCCACTAATGGAAAGTCTACCTTATTTATGTCCACGTCTTCTGGTTGAGGATCACAATAATAGAAATCAATATTAACATTTAACATTCTCGCTAATCTCTCACTTTCTGATGAAATGTCAAACCCTTCATATGCATCTATTGCTTCATTTAAATAGCTTCTACGAGTTTTAGGATTAACACCATCAGGAATGTTATAGAAGCGTTTAAATAACCTTCTACCTTCTGCTCTAATTTGATTATCATTCATTTTAGTTGTTCCGTTTTTGTTCATTTATGTAAGAATAAAAAATTAAAAAATAAATAAAAATAAAGTTTATTTTTAAAGTCCGTAAAATGAATTAAGGACACATAAATTTTTATCATCTGCGACGTGACGAATACATTTTAATTTACTCAAGAATGCGTACCCTGATACATTAAATCTAATTCCTGTCTTATTTAATTTCACAACTTTGAAAAGGAATGTATGAATAGCTATAAAATGATGAGAAGATGTTTTATGGGTTGCTTCCGTTTTTTCTGAAATAAATGAATAAATATAATGCTTATACGTTTTCATATCTTTTATATTCTTAATAACGAATGGTATAGACCTTTCCACTTCATCTTCCTTCGGTGCTGTTCTTTCATATGAAACATTATTAGTATCTTCAACAATGAAACCGCAATCACATAAAATTTTATATGTTCCAATGGTTTCTTTTGATATTTTATCTAATAAATCAAAAACTTTATCAACACCTGTGCATTTATTTAAATAATAATTTGTGTAAATATCATGATCTTCTTTCTTAATCGTATTAGTTGCATATGTCACGTTTTTAAGAGCTTTTTTTGAATTTTTCGGAATCTAAAGGTGGTGAAAGTAGGATACAGGGGTATTCTTCATTATCAATAAATTGTAACTTATGTTTACGAATAAATTTAGTACCTTCTTCTGAAAGTGTTTCGTCTATTTCACCATCTAATAAATTTTGTGTTGATTCTGAGACATAATTTTTATATCTTTCTTCATGAGATTTCTGTACTTCTGATTCTGAAGCTGGGATATTCATTAAACCCTCTACTTCATTTTCATTATATTTTTCAACTTCTCTTAATTCCTTAATTTTTTCATCTATTTCATCTCTTATTTTTTTCAGTCTTTCAATTTCATTGTATTCATCATCTTTAATCCGTTCTTCATAATATTCAGGGAAAACATCAGGTTCTTTAGGTTTTTCTTCTTCAGATGTAGGATATAAGAAATTTATAACATCATCTTTATTCATTTTTCCATCATAATCTAAATCATTTAATAACTCGGCAAATTTTTGACAATTTCTTAAATAATACTTATCAACTTCATAACCCACCTCCTCTAATATATCCTTTATTTCCTCGTTTGTGAATCCTAATTTTTTAACGTTGTTAGTTTTGACACTCATTTCATACGAATTAAAAAATAAATTATTCAAAAATGTAAGACATGAATTTTTAAAGTTTATTTTTTTATTTTTTATTTCATTATGGTAGTGAATCTTTTATTCATGAAAATAATTATTTCTAATTTCTTTTACTCTCTCGTATATACTAGATTTGAAGAATTCGGAACATTTCCCATAATCTCCTAAATGTTTTCTTATCCCTAACGTGTGCCTGTTATTATATGAAACTGTATAAACTTTATCTTTATCTTTACACCTTTCATCACTTCCAATATATTTATATCTCAGTTTTGATTTAGCATTTTCATATTCATTAGCGTTTAATAATTCACAGTCTTCCTTTTTAAATAAATGTTTTATGTATTCAGGATTAACAATTCTATAATATTGCTTCCCTTTAAATCTTTGAATATAAACAGGAACACCATCCTCTAAAATTCGATAATCTATTTTATCTGGTTTTACTTGTTGGGTCATTTATGTAAGAATAAAAAAATAAATTATTTTAAAAATAACTTTAATTTTTTTAATGGTTTATAAATATATTTTAATGCATCGTCTATATATAGATGTAACAAAAAAAGTCACAAAACCCATCATATCCTACTACTATATATGCTTTTTTTGAGAAAAAAAATTAATGAAGTTTTGATCTCAGAATATGTGCAGCTAACTCATCCTCGTCTAAAGTTAGAGTAGAAGTAGGAGATAATGAATCACTATAAGATTTCTGTTCCATTCTCTTTAACTCAAACGCCATTTGAGCATTTTCTGCCCTAAGTACTGCAGTTTTTTGCTTTATTCGCTCTATTTCATCGCTAATATTAATAGATGGCCCATCTGGTGTTACACGATTCAATCTCTGTAATTGTGCTAATTCCTTTGATTTAGTTGATATGCTCTTCTTGAGATCTTTAATTTCGTCAAGCAATTGACCACTTTCGGCTTCAAGTTCGTTTACATTTGAATTTGCTGATTCTAAAGCGTATTGCATTTGCGAAAGATTATCGTTTGCTTCGCTTTGCTGGTGAAGAAGAGACTCATTATCTTCTATTGCTTTTTGATGCTCTTGACGAAGAAGTAATAATTGATCTTAGTGTTCTTTAATACTGTTTTGAAGCTTAGAGAAATCTTCTTCAAACTTGATAGCATCGTGTGTTTCTTTCTCTTTTGCGGCTTCTAAACGAGATTCACAACTTGCAACACATTCATTCCATTGTTTCTTAAATTGTGCATTCTCGTGTTTAAGCCCTGAGAGAATAAATGATAACGAATCGAATTTGACTTCTATAACTCGCTTCAACTTTTCTAATTCTGTTGTTGCGTTTTCAATTGAACTTGGAGATGCATTAAATGTATTAACTTGCATTTCATGAAGTAATTTAGCTATCTCTTCGTTGTTTGGAGAAGATGAAAAGTCTGGTTTATTTGCTTTCAAGCGATATATTTCTTCCTTGATTGTATTATTCTCTTCAACGAATTTTTGATATGATTGATAAGCACTCCCTGTATCGATTTTGTTGTTAGAAGTGGAACTACTGGAAGATCTCGAAGATGAATTCATAATCCTTTATTTTTGCTCAAAGTAACAAGAAACTATTGATTGATCTGAAAGAGAAGAAATAATCTTTTCTGCTAGCTCTAATGCCGCTTCAGTAGGATCCTTAATTTGGCTGTTTGTACTGAATGAACTATTAAAAGAACTCATATTCCGTTTTCTAATTCAAATTTTAAAAAAGTGACGTCCAAAATCTCATGAGTTTTCAACTATATTGTTGGAAGATAATACTTAATGCATCTACATGAATTACACAAGATAGTTGCAGATTATAGAATTACATTAGGTCGTACTAAGTATTTCTTTCATTTCCGGCATATCGAGCAGAAAGGAAGACATCTTCAACCATAGGAAAAAAATGTGTCATTACCAGATTTTTGATGTCAATCGGAAACGAAGAGAAAATAGGGCAATATAGGCGCCCTCAAGGATATTCTCATCACAAACATACAAAATTAGATAATTCAAAATGGATGTCACATCTAGATGATAATTTATTTTTACATCAGATCAATATAATTGGAACACATGAAACAATGGCATTCCGAGGTGGAGATGCAGTTATATGCCAAAGATTACCCCTAATTAAGCAATATATCGCTGGAATTCGTTTTGTTGATATTCGATGCAACCATCATGATGATGATTTTTATATCCATCATGGTTTCGTCAGCCAAAAATCGATGTTTATCGATGTTCTAGAAATTACAACAAAGTTTCTACAAGAAAATCCATCCGAAACAATTTATATGCGCATAAAGCATGAGTATAAGAGAAAAAACAACAATAAAACATTTGAGCAGGTATTTGATGAACAAATTGAGAAATATAGAAGCTACATCTGGGATCCTTCTTCAAATCCAAATCCACAAGATCCGCTTCTAAAAGAAACAAGAGGAAAAATTGTTGTTGTACAACAATTTACTACGGATAAAACGTATGGTGTTCAATGGCGTTCTCCTTATGTAAATATTCAAGATCAATACCATTTTAAGCACAATTGGAATCTTTTTAATAAATGGGAATTGATCAAAAAACATATTAATGCAGCGAATGATGATATTTCAAGTAGCAATCTCTATATAAATTTCCTTTCTGCGTCTCGATTGTCTTTTCCTTATTTTGTAGCTAGTGGACAGTCAAGTCCACAAACTATTGCACCTCGGCTATTAACAGGAATAATGCTACCTGCAACAAATTCAAATTACGAAGATTTTCCAAGATTTGGTTGCAGCTGCTATTCTTTTGTAGGTTTTGAAGGAACAAACAATTTGGTCATTAATTACATAAAGAAAAATCCAAATATTAAAAAAATTGGTATTATTCTTGCAGATTTTCCTGGTCCTGATCTTATCAATTTGATTATCTCAATGAATCAAATAAAAGACAAGTAAATCACAAGTAAAATTTCCAATAGAGCTCCATTTTGGCAGAAACAAAGAAAATTGTCATTGAAGTGTTTGAAAAGTAAATTTTGACATTTGTAAATTTTTCAATAATTCTATTATGCAAAAATATACCAATTTCTGAATGATATCGAATTTATTAAGCTTCATGAATGATATGTAATAGTAATTAATGAAAGTTTTCCACATTAGCCGATAATAAAAGTGACACTTTTATCAACATCAGAAATTGGTTGTAAAAAACCGTTTTCTGACTATTTTTGAGTATTAAAAAATTAATTAGAGTTTTTCTTCATAATGTCTCGGGGTACTGGATCAAATGTAGGATCCAATTACTCCAATTATGGCACTGCAAGTGCATGGACATCATCAGCATTTTCTGAGCGTTATGAGAAAATTCGAAATACAGATTATTACTCAGATGATTATTACTACAGCTATTCCGAAGATGAAGAAAGAAGTGCACCAAAGAGAAGAATCAACAATCGTCGCCATCAACGTTCAATTAATAATTATTCATCATCAAATTTTCAATACGATTACTCAGATAGTTACAATTATTCATCGGAAGATGACAAATATCCTGGAGTTGAAGTCGACAATGATAAAAAAGCTCCCGGAAAAAATTATTATATTCCTACAAGGCAAACAGCTCACATTATTCCAAAAGAGATATCGATTCCAGTTTCATCATCTAACAGGCAAATCCGAGTTCGATCACAATCAATTGATTTCACATCTCCAAGTACAATTCCTCTTCCACCTCCACGCTCAAGGACTCCATTAAATATTAACATTCCTCTTAAAGGATCACTTGAATCAATGACTGAAGAAGTTAATAACAGCAGCAACAACAGTCAGATCCAAAAGTCTAGACGGACTATTAAGACATCGTCATCCTTTGATCCTTCATCAATTCACAACAGTATTCTTTCACGTCCAATTGAACTCTCAGAGATCCCTACAGAAGACGAGCTCCAAGAAGAAGATCCGATCAATCAAGAAGTCGACTCATCCTTACTTCTTCAAATGCAACTTAGTGACATATCTAAGTTTTTAGAGAATCCTGTATCCATTCCAAAGCATAAATCTTCATCACAGTCTGCGATTACATCAAAAGCAGGCAAACTGTCATTAGACTACTCGACAAGATACGAAAAGACCAATGATCACGAAATACTTTCAGAGCAACCTGTTTTAAAGGGAAACATCAAAACAGCACTTTCCTTACCAAGATCTCAACCTTCAGCAAAGCCACTCGATGTCATTGAGAAAGAAAGTATCTTAAGTCGACCTGGCTTATCAGTTGATCTATCACATTCATCTGGTTTGCAGGTTCGTACTAAATCTGTTCCTAACATTTTTGATGATCATTACTCTGATATGAAAATTGAAGCACCAGGTGGTAATCAAACACTTGAACTCCGATGGAGCCAAAATAATCAACCAACAAAACAAAAGAAACTTTATGCAGGTGTCTTGCAAACATCTCTTTCTGTTTCTAAGCCAGGAATGGATAAAGGAGTTTACTACGAAAACGAAGAAGCCAATCCATTCCCTGAATATCCTATTGATGGCCCAACAGTTGAGAAACCAAAAGGCCTTGAAGATGGCATAATCCATGAAGTAACAGAAGTTGATGCAGAAGGTAAAGAACGTAATACTAAATATATTACAATCAAAACATCGGAAAGTACAAGGCCAACTGCTCCTATTCAAATTGTTCGTGCAGGAAACGTTCCTTCTAGCCAATGCATTGTTCAAAAGAACATTTACCCAGTTGAAACACTTAGAGATCTTCGTAAAGGTGTCACAAACATAAATACATTATCATCGATCTCAGTTATCCAAAAATCACCTGGTTTCAAACTCTTACAACTTTTACATCACGAAATGTTGTATCCTGAAATTTACGCTGAAGAAAAAGGCAAAGATAAAGATAAAGGAAAATCTACTCCAATTCTTACAGCACAGCAACGTTTGGAGGAGCAGAAGCAACGCAAACAACAGCTTATCCAAGAGCAAGAGCGTGCTAAGCGAGAAGCAGCTGCGGAAGCATATCGGAAGCGTAATCCAAAAGACAATCCAGACGTTTTCATTCCTACCAAGTCTCTCAAAACTCAGGGTCAATGGAACGAGAACTCAGATGAAGCATTCCGCTTCCAGATCAAGATGGCATACAACAGGCTTACATTCAAGACACTTCACATGACAGATGAAGAACTTACTCCTCTACTTACAACAGACGAAAGAATCAACTTTGCTGTTGAGACATTCACTACTAAAGCCATTAACGAGCAGTCATTTGCTCCAGCATATGCCAAGTTCACTGCTATTTGCAGCAGCGATAAATTCCGAGAGACAGTTGTTCGCGAGATCATCACTAAGTTCTTTGAGTACATCAGCAATCCAGGCCAGGAAGAGCGAGAGAGCGACGTGAACAACTGCAATGGTACTGCTGCCTTCTTCGGTTGTCTTCTTGCAGTTAATGCAATGGCGGAGGCAAATGGTCACACTGCTATCAACTCTCTTTTCGAGAAAGTCGAGAAGAACCCTCCTCATTCCACACACATCGAGATGCTTCATCACTTCGTTGTGAATGCTGGTGCAAACTTCATCATCAAAGTTAATCCACAAATGTGGCGTCGTCTTGATGTTGTTGCACAATCTAAACTTCTTAAGCCTCGTTTCCAGTTCATGATCTACGAAATTGTTGAAGTTAAGAACAAATACATCAAGAAAGGCATTGAACAACTTGATGAGCTTGACATTAAAGAAATCAAAGAAGAGACAATTAACACAGTTCGTGGTGCATTCGATGACTACAAGACTAACGATTTCGAACTCCCAGTTCTTATCATCGAAGCACCGGACTTTTTCCAGGCAGCTCTTCAGCTTATAATCGACTTTCCCAACGACTTGTTCACATTCCTTCGATTCATCGTTGACGTCATGCGCGATAAGAAAGCATACGCCGACGACATCGTTCAAATCATGGAACACCAAGTTTCGGAGTTCAAAGAGAACGACGTCATCAGTGATTTCAGAGGTCTTTGGACAGCTCTTTCTGACTTGTCTATCATGTTTCTTCTTAATGGTATCATCGGTTACGCAGAGGCAGACGATATCCACCGCATGTTCTCAGATAAAGCATGGGACTGCATGAACGACATTAAGTGGTGGCTTTTCGACAACTGGGACTTCTCCGAATCTCTTCAAGCTCCTGGTGTGCGTGATGACGAGATAAACTTGATTGTCAAGATGCCTAAGATTATATTCGACAAAGAAGTCAAAATAACATATATGTCACGTATGATTTGTATCTCTATTTTCCGTACTATATTTACTCGTATGGAGAAAGATGGAAAAAGAAGTTTAAAAGATGTTCCTAAACATCTTCATAAACTTCTTCGTTTGTGTGTTTCTATGCAAGAAAACGCATCGCTCGACGAGATGAATGCTATCTTACACATCACAAACGGATTCTTCACATTCACTCTTGATGATTTCATCAAGAAATACAAGAAATAATTTAATTCTTTTTTTTTATATATGATCAAAAAAAATATTGTAATTTATACAAAACTTTTATATATTATATATTTACTATTTAGTTATGTTTTCTTTTATATTGATTTTATATAAAGTTCTTCGTTAATTCTTAATGAATTTTTTTTACTTACTTACATAATAAAAAATTTAGGATTCATTCCATCAATATTATGATATATCATTGCATAAAATAATGAAATACTTACAAAAATTTTATATAAAAAAACAATAAAACATGAAGTCTATAGCAAATATTAGAATTGATCTGATTCTTCTGATTTCATAGAAACTTCTTCAACATTTGACAAATCAAATTCTGACTCATCAGGATCAACGAAAATTAGTATTGGCTGCCCCTCACCGAAAGAGGAGATTGCAATCATATTCCTCTTTGGATTCCAAGCAAGGCTCGTCACAGGTTTGTTAAACTTATTTGTCCATTGAACTGTGTTAGATGATTTCGGAGATTTAACTGTCCAAATTAATATGTTTCCATCTTCTGATCCAGAAATGATGAATTGACCATCAGGGGAGAATGTTGATCTTATTAAATAGCGCCTACACTTTGCGCCAATATATCTTGTTGTTGTAGTCATAGCCTTTGTATCGAAAACCCTAATAACATCATCATGAGTATGAATTAGTAAACAAAAATTCGAGCGGACCATTTCCATATGGGATATTGGCGTATTTCCAATCTCGTCATCAACTAAAAATCTTTTGTTTGAGAATTTTAGTTCTCCATTCTCAATAACTGTCCTCCAAACTGAAATTACGCCAGAAGAATCGCCACAATATAGTCTTCTGCCATTTGGAGAGAAAGTCATTGAGTTAATTCTAGTTTTATGCCCTATGAATTGTTTGAAACACTTTTTTTGGTTGTAATCCCATACATAAATGATCCCATCATATCCGGCAGTAAATATAAGATTGTTGTCAATCGGATGAAACTTGCCTGTGTATACAAATTTGGAATGTGGCATAATTAAAGGTTTGTGCGGACCTTCCACAGTCCAAACTTTGGCTGAGCAATCAGCAGATACAGAAAGCAGTAAATTGTCGTTTTTGGAAAATTCTAGTTCATAAATAGTCTCAATGTGTGCTGGAAATGAATCAATTAATTTGAATGTTGCAGTATTAATCAAATCTATATAGTATTGATGATCCTTATGAACTGCGGCAGCTAACATTGTGCCTGCATGATTAAATGTAAGGTAGAGAGCCCCGTGGTCGCCAGGATATAATTGCGTTTTCAAAACTCTTGGAAGAATGCATTGTGAGGCTGGCTCATTATCAATGTCGCTATGTTCTATGGCAATTGATAGTGAATCTTCTTCTTCTGTCTTAATTAATTCATGAATATCCACTTCTCCGACTTCTTTTTCAAAAACAGACTTAGGACGTTTGGTAATAGTTACAAACTGCTGAGGTTGAACTGGTTTAATGCAAACTCGTAAAATACAATCAATATTAACTCTTTTGTTGATTAAATCGCAACATTTGACAATTGTTGAATGGTTCGTTAATTGATATCCTTGAGGGTATTCGTATAATTGTATATTTCGAGGAGAATCTGCATTAACGAGTTTTCCATCAAGATTTCGAAGTTTTAAATAACCCCACGCTAATGGGCAGAATTGCTTGCATCCTTCATATATAGTATAGTCAATGATTTCAAAAATAAACATTAAATTTGGTTTCGTAATATATGAATAAAGTTCGTTATAAATAAAAGTTTCATTCCATTTGAATATTGGCGATGATAAGCGGGCTGAATCGATATACTTAGTTACAATAGGTGAAATATATTGACTGTTTTGAGCTTCACGTACAGAAATTACTTTTCTATTAACATCTGATTTGGTGACAAGAGTTCCTGTAATAGTGTTAACTATAGAAACTTTACAGGCAACGTTCTTCATGGAGCTTCGGCAGTTCAATTCGGAAGTCCCATATACGGATATTGAAAAGATTTCATCGCTCATTCGTAAAATTTCTAAACTGACATCAGAACTCAGAAGTGTTTCTACCAAAAATATGAGAGAAAAGGGTAAATTTTTTTGATGAAATAGAATGTACATACGATTTAAATACAATCCATTGGGGTTACCTTTTTTCAAGAACGATTATTATATTGAAAAATAATCGTTATCGTCTGACAAGGGTAATTTGAAATTTAACCCATATAATGAGCATAATGTAAGTATCAATTATATTATTGTACGTTAAATTTCCTTCTCAATTTTAATGAAACAATTTTTTTCATCCTCTGAGCGCACCAGTATTTGAAATATCCCGTAATTTTCCAAAGGCATACCTCTAACTCTGCCACAACTTTGATAATCTCCAAACAAAAATGACAATAATTAGAGATTTCACCTTAATTTAATCCAGATTTTTAAAAAATATATGATTTTCCGATGTCTTACAATGCTACAATCAATATTTACTCAACTTAATTCAAAATTTCAGCTACAGATCCCCAATACATGTGCATTTTAAATAATTTTTTCCAATAATTATCAGTCCTATTTGATTTTATATCAAATAGGAAAATTCTCAACTATGGATAACACAAAGCTTATCGAATTTCATTGATTTTATAATATCAATATTATCAAATTTATTGGCCTAAATTCATGTTTGCAAAGCTTATTACAGTTTAAATTCGATATACCCTTGATAAATATATCTTTCCTTGTCCTCTTTCTTGGAATCAAATATTTCTCCTTGATATTCAAAATTTATTTATGAATTCTTATATTGCGATATATTTAATAAACATTTATTTATAATTTTTGATGGTCATTGATATATTATAAAAAATACTAGATAACATCATATTTCATATTCATTTCGAATACAATTGAGACCAAAAAGTGATAGATTTTTAAAGTAATATAAGGGGTAACATTACCATTGGACACTGCATTTCTAGTATGAATTCTAACCTCCATGGATGGGGGTTATGGTGGAATCACTTCTCAGAACTCTCAATTCAAAAGTATCTGGATTTTGAATTTCAGCGACCAAAATTATAATACATCTAACAAAGATTTAATAACATTAATTGAAACAATAACCAACAATATTAATTTATTTTCCTAATTTTGAACTAATCAAATACATAAATGTATGGGTTGATGGGTAACATAATTCCTGCCTTAGTAGAACCTTCATTCACAGAACGAAACGAAATCAATCTATCCAAGGTAACATCTCGAGATATAAATGATGAATTTGGTGAAAACGTGCTAGAAAAAAAAATGTCTGCCTGGTTCATTGATGAGAAAACACTTAATCGCATAACTAGCATAATATCTAATCCAAATTCAAGCATTATTGACTTAATTAAAGAGGATACAATTAAAACAGCCATAAAAAGGCAAGTCCCAAAATTATTAGACTTTATTTTGAAGCATGTCGGTGAATTTGTAGATGTTGCTATAGGAGTAATCAAAACAAGTGTTGTTATTCAAAAAAAGGCTTTAGATCTTCTTTTATCAAATATGCAACCATTCACAAATCAAATTCAGAACTCACCAGAATTTGCATCCCATATTTATGCATTTATTTCTCAAGAGGCAGACTTTTCAGAAGTAGATTCCACTTGTTTTTGTAAATTAATCGAATTTTACATGAAAGATTCAGATTGTGGCATCCTTAATAAACTTCCCAAAGACAAATTTATACCACTTCTTTTAAGTCGAGTTCATCATCTCTCTATTTCGAACCTAATGGAAATCATCACCTGTGATACTCGCAAATCTATGTGGAAATACATCGAAAATACGCGTGTTGACCAAGCTATCTACAACTCGTTCGGAAACATCGATTACATCAATGAGCGTCTTTTAAATTTCCTCAGAAACATCATTTGCTCAGCCGAACTAGGGTCTCCGGTACTTGATCTCTTTACCAAGAAGAACAGCATTGCTCGATTTTTCGATTTCGGATACAATGCGACTACTCATGTTGCTGCTGCTGCATTTCGCGTAGTTTACGAGGTTCTTGGCCTTGTTATATACGAAGAAGAATCAGAGATGCAGAGCAATATCTTATTTGGGACCATATTTGCCGAAACAGCTGAAAATTTAGAAGCATTATGTGAATTTGTACAGCAAGACCGGCCATTTCTTGACGACAAGTACAGAGCAATTGAGCTTATTACTGCCATCCTCCAAGTTTACCCCGATCCGGAACCATGCGTAGTTGATATGATGAAATACCTATTTAAAAAGTTCATGGAGCTCCCATTTCACACTTTCCTGCACCAATCTTTCTATAATGTCATGCTCAAGATCGGAAAAGATGACAAATCCCTCAGATTATTAATTAAAAAGTTAAACATGTATGAAGAGATCATAAAAGCGTTTGATGGCTACGACCACAAACAAGTGTCATACATAGGACACTTGTACGCCATATCTAACTATATTTCGAAGAAGTTGGGACCAGATCCGGAAAATGAGGAGTGGAATAAGTTCTTAGAGGACAAAATATCTCAGATGAGAGACGTAATTTCCAAGCCATTCGGAGGAATGATGCCAAATCAGTACTATCAAGATGATGACGACGATGATTACGTAACACCGCGAGAGGCAGCGATTTCCATCTTCGGAAAAGCATTCTTCTTCGGAGGAGATGACGATGAGTTCGAAGAAGAGGATTTCTTGGATGATGATTACGATGAAGAAGAATTATGAATATAATTGTGCAAAAATGTTTGTAAAATGTATTTATATATTACTTTATAATTGTGCAAAAATATTTGTGAAATTTGTCAAAAAAAAATTTATTTGAATCAATAATAATAATATGCTTTCAGAAGTCTTATCTTATCAAAATGATACAATCCGTGCTACAAGCAGTAGTGTAGAAACTATAGATAAGCTTCCTAGGCAATGTTTATGCGCTTGTTCCGTTATAATTTCAAATAACAGACTTTCTTCATTGAAAGGAATCCATCAATTAAAGAATATTTCATATCTTAATATCGAAAACAATAAAATTTCTACAATTAATGCACTCGAACCATTATCTCGCTGCCATAATTTAAAAAATATTGTTATTAGAGGGAATCCTATTTGTAATTTTCCATTATTTTACCCATATTTACTTTCAATTGTCCCTTCTCTTGAGTTAATTAATGGTAAACCTATATCAGATTTAGAATTTTCTCCAATATATGTTAAAATTCAAATTAATCTAGAGCAAACAATGCTATTACATTTAGAATCCATAAATAACATTCTATCTGCTCTAAAGTTATCAAAAGTTTCTGGAATTTCTCCTGATATTTCAATTGATTTAATTTCACACGAGAAAGATTTAATAAATACGATCAGATCAAATAATTTTAACATTTCATTCAAACAATACTTTTCACATTTAAGAGAATTGATTCTCAATTATCACAAAACTCTCAATAAATACGCAATACAGTGCAAACTTCCGAATAAGCATATAAACAGTCACAAAGAGCTAATACAGCTATGTAATTCAACATATGACATTGAAAGTCTCCTAGATCTACTCCAAAAGTTGAACGAGACCTCTTTTGAATTTGTTACGCAAGAAACAGAAAATGACGAAACTACAGAAACCAAAGCCACCATTTCATCTGAAAAAGCACCAGAAAATTCCGATAATTTTCAATCAACAAAGTCAGAAACGAAACAGGAACAAATTTCAGACAGCGAAGGATCATTTGTTGACGAAAAGCCGCTCAATCTCTTTCAGAACAACAACTGCAGCAGCGAGAAGAAGGATGAAGACACTTTAGTTTCGAACGACATTGCTTCTGATGAAGAAAAGCCAAATCTAAACACAAGTGTCCAATCAGAGGACAAATCAAAGGAAGAGCCAAAGAAATTTGATGAGTACAATTCGATTGACAACGACCAAGCATCAGATGAAGACAAAACAATGAACTCTGAGTCAGAAGCAACAGAAATTAAAAGACATTCAAGCGTAACTTTTCTTAGTAACTCCAACCTTCTCCTCCATAAGGATGACACTGTTTTCGATGCCTCGCAAGGTGAAAATCTGACATCAACAACGATCCTTATTAAAAATGACACAGAAAACAGCGATGCAAGCGATTTCGACGGAAATCCGCAGACAAAAACTGAAAGAAAAACTTCTCTCCTTGTCCAATCCAGTGAATTCCTGGCTTCACGTGGAGAGTCAATGGATTCTAACCAGTCACCACTCCAATTAACCCGACCTGCTGGTTTGTCTGAGAGTATTTACTCCGATTTCGAAAAGCCAAAAGCAGAAAAGGACAATCACCAGCCACAAAAAGCCCTGCTGATGACAAATGATGCAAATTTCGAAGGAGACTGCGGAGAATCTCTCGTCGAAAGAAAAGCTGCAGAAGTGTTAGTATACGACAGTGATTCTGTAAGTGCATTTCCAGGTGGAGATGAGATCGCCCTGTTAAATGATTTGTCAAGGTATTTTGCAAAATGGAAAGTTAGATTGTCCAATTTGGAAAGAAAGAGAAAAAACGAGATAATATCAGAAGCACTAAAACTATTCATAGAAAAAGAAGAAATTCAGGAAAAAATTGAACTCCAAAAATTGAAAAATTTGAATTTATCAAAAGAAGTTACATCAATCAAAGACAAGATATCAGAACTTCGCTCATCAGGTGCCTTCTCACAGAAATCAACAACATCACGCCGTTCGTTTTTCATTTCTTCTCCAACAAAAAAATAATTTTTTTTTATATAAACAAACAAAAAAAATATATATTTTATTAATACAAACCTAAAGCTTCATCCCAAAAGTTTTCTCTTGGGTTTCTCCTCTTGCTCACCAACAAAGGCATCTTGAGCAGTTCCTCTTTCTTCTTGCAGATCTGGATAATGTTGTCCTTCAGAAATTCGCAGACTTTGTCAACAACATTCAGCAGATCTGGGAACTGAAACTGAAACTGGGCAGTTGTGAGTATGTTATTGTTCTCATCAAGCATTTCCAGCAGCCTTTTCTTCAGTCCGTTGTCTTTTCTCGGCTGATCTTGGCTAATTTCTTGTTTCAACTTGGAAATAAACGAATTAAGTTTTTCAAGATGCTGTTTAACTTCATCTTTGAGGTCTATACTACGTTTTGCCTTTGAAATTGATGAAGATAATTTTTCAATTCTGTATTTGTACTCTTCCTTCGAATGTCTGATGTTTTCATTACTGTCAAACCATTCTCTGTTCTCTTTAGCCCTCTGATCTAGTTTTTGGAATGCTTCTTCCTTTAATAATTCCTTTTTCATGTCTCTGAGGTATCTTTCCGCTTCAAATATCTTTGACTCAAGCATGTTCTTGAATTCATAGCTTTCAATAACATCTTTGTCGCGTTTTTCCAGGTTTTTCTCAATAAATTTGAATTTTTCGATTTGATTTTGCGAAAAATCGTTTGGAATTGTAACTTTTACGTCACCAACAGCTCTGAAAACTCCATTTGAGTCAACAAAAACCTGGTAATCGCTGTCATTTGACTCGACTTTTACATCACACGAGAATTTTGCATTTTGAATGTTGCAAGTCTTTGGTTTTGTCGGAATGAACTCAAGAGCATCGAAAACCGTTATATTTCCCTCAGAAATTTCGATTGGATAAGACAACTTGTCTGCAATCTGCAAAGAAGGCTTCATAGCGCATCCAATTGCCACACACTCATCGACATTGATGTCAGATACAATCGGAATTCCGATTTCACTTATCTTTTTGCGGAATAACGGAATTCTGGACGTTCCTCCGATGAGTTCTATGAAGATTGGCTGGACATCACTGATTTTGATCAGTTCTATTACACTTGATGCACAAATTTCTGCGGATTCTTCGATTAGAGCTTCAAAATCTGTTCTTTGAAGGACAAAATTGATGTATTTGTCACCATACTGGTATTCAAATGGAACAGATGTGTTGACTGAGAGGGTTTTCTTGGCTTTTTCAACAGATTTAAGAAATTGAAGCATGGACGAGGGTTTGTCGCTAGGATTGATGGAGTATTTCTGTGATATAAATTTGAGGAGATTCTCAATTAGAAGTTCAGTGATTTTGTTGCCGCTGATATCATCATTTTGCATGTTGACAATTACTTCAATGGAATTTTGGGACAATTTGAGGACACTAGCCTTTAATGAAGAATCGCCAATGTCAACTACACAAATGGCCTGAGATTGCTGGGGATCTTCTGGTAATTTATCTTTATGAGAGTAAATATATGTTGCTCCTGCTGCAACTGTTGATGTAACTAGTTCGCAATCTATACCAGCTATTTTTGCTGCATTCAAAAGTCCAATTCTTTGAATATTTGAACAAAATGTATCAACTGATAAATATAACTTGTTTACTTCTGGATCATTCTCTTTAGAAATGTTAATTAAGTACTTTAATAATGATGCAATGCACTGTTCTGGTGTAAAAATGTATTGATTAGTAACATTTTCAATTAAAATGCCAGTATATCCGTTTTTTAATTCAACCATAGAAAACTGAACATGAGAGGCTATTCTTTCTCGTTCTGCTGATTGATATTTTAATCCAATCAATTTTTTGAGACATGTAATCGTAGAATTGATGTTTTCGAGTTGGTTCTGTTGAGCTAGATCTCCAAAAAAGCGCCTTTCGTCGCCATACGATACCAAAGTTGGTGATAACCTTGTAGATGAAGGATTTAGGCAGACTTTGATATTTTCATTGGTGTTGGCTGCAACAATTGCATTCTGATTTCCAAAATCTATGCCAACACAGTGAATGGAATCTTTCATTATATTTTTATCAGAAAATAAAATAGATGGCCGGCCAAAATAAAATTCAAAACAAAATTTTTCAAAGTTCAACCATTTAAAGCTTATTAAATAAGTCTAAATCAAAAATTGTGCACTTATGCCGTATCTGTTTTTCTCAATTTCGAAAATTTATTGATTTTATTCTTATTAATAGCAATTTTCGAGGAAAGAATCAAGTACTTCAAATAGATTTTTCTTTTTAGAGTTATTCGTCTGATAAGGTGATATTATTATTTTTTATTATTTTTTGATGTCTTCAAAAAAATTGAAACCTATCAAAATTAGCAACACTGATGATAGTCAAAATATTCAAATATGGAAACTGTTAGCTCATAAATACTGGGGAACTCTTGTTGCTTTTCTAATTTCGATTTCAGCTGGAATAGCGATAGGAGCTTCTTCACGTTCAATGATCGAATCATATATTTATGGATCTGTTGTTGCTGTCCAAGGTATTATTTGCTTCCTTGCATCATTTTTTTACTCAAATCTTTACAAAAGATCAACACTACGAAAATTTACAATATATTTACTAATAATTGCATGCTTGATTCCATCAATTTGTTGGTGTGGCTTTTATTTAGAATAGAACCCTTAACCTCACGTTCTACATGTCTAATTCATTCTAATTTTATATGATATATGATCTTTATCAAGCATCACGTCTAGTACACATATTTTTAATCAATATATTTTAATTAAATTCATGAAAATCTAAAAAAAAATCGAAATTACATTTCGAAAGTTTGAGACTAATCGAAACTTAAACCAATTAGCAGATACGGCTAAACTATAACAATGGCTTCTTATTAACGAGATTTATTTGTTTTTTCTTATAGTAAAATTTGCTCTTTTTAGAGTTTATTGCTCTTTATTATTTCCAATGTCAATAATTCTTTATGTATAAATTAGATTCCCAGAAACGAGCAAAGTTTTTTTTTACCATCGAAAGTAGTATATGTGGAAGGGTTGTGTGACTTTTTTTGTAAACGTAAGAATTCTTACAATATTGAACGATTTTGTATCATTTTTTTACATATGAAGTAAAAAATGTATGGTTCTTACGGTTTTTATTCTTACGTTTTTGAATAAATCAAGATTAAAAAAATTTTAAAAATTGTAAGACATTTACACTCAGCCCAAATGTAAATCATTAAAAAAATTATTTTATCATCTTTTATAAAAGAAGCTATATATAGATGATGTTGGATATTCCGCGATTAATTAAACATTGTTTAAATCCTGAATGGAATCAATGGAGTCATAATCAAAGACCTCATAAACGAGAAAAAGAAATTGAAACTAATGATTATTTGAATTTATGAAATCAATTATTTGATTCATTCTTTCTTCAATCTCTTCTATTCTTTTTGTTAAATCATCAATTTTCATTAATAGGGTGATTCTTGATTGAGGAATAGATTTCAAACTAACCACTCCTTTTATTTTTGAAATTTTGAATCCATCAACTTTAAACATTTTATTCAATTTACACGTTGTCAATTCTTCAAATAATTTTTTATTATTAGCATAATAGTCATTAAATTCTTCAACAGATGAAAAAATTTTTATTTCAGTAATTGGTTTAACAACGTTTATTTTTTGTTGAACATTTTCACTTTCATTTATTTCTTCCTCCTCTGTTTCATTTATTTTTAAAATCGGTTTCATTTAACATTAAATAAAAATTAGAATATAAGTGATGAAAATGAATTTTTTAATTAATATTAAATCAGAAATGGCGGCAGGATTCTTTAAAAAATTATGGGATGGAATTAAGAAAGCTGCAGGTTGGGTTTATAAAAAGGTTATTAAACCTGTTGCAAACTTTTTGGCACCAGTAGCGAAAACGGCAGGAACTATCATAGGTGGTGTATTAGGTACTAAAGCAGGTAATCCAGCGATGGGAGCACAAGCAGGTAACGCAGTTGGTGGAATTGCTGAAGGAATACTTAATAAAATAGGAGGTAGATAGTGGAAAAATAAATAAATATTATTTTTATCTTAGTATCGGTTGTAGTCTTTGATAAACTTTTTCTCCTTTATTTAAAATTTCTCTTATTGGGGCAGCTTTTGGTGTTATTGATTCAGCAACGTCACTAATTGCTTCTTTATTCTTAAATATCCAATTTGCTCCCTTCTTCAATGTTTCCCAAACTTTACTCGCTCCTCTTTTTACTCTATCCCACAGTTTCTTAAATATACCTGCAGCCATAGTTGATTATTTCATTAAAATTAAAAAATTCATTTCTATCTTTTAATTTTGATTTTTTATTTATTAATAAAATGACGACTAACTATTTGGTGCCAAACACTAAACCGATTAATGGAAATGTATTTCATTCATTCGAAAAGATAAATGAAATATTCGCAAAGAATGATGGTAGAAGATATTATAGAGAACTTGAAAGTTCATGCTATGACTCTGATGCTCCATATTTTGATGATAAACAAACTCATTTAAGAATTACAAATCCGGCTCATGATGTGAACCAATTAGGTGACACATATATTAAACGCAAAGTTAAAGCAACTCTAGTTTCAAATAAAGCTTTCACATGTGATACCGCTTTTAAATGCATGCGTTTATTCGTTGGTTACAAATCATCAAATCAAAGCTTTAAACAATTAGAAGTAGAAACTGAAAGAGGTGATGCTGGTTATCTTCAGATGGATTGCGCCCGTGAATCTTTCGCATTTGCAACATATAAACCAAAATCAGAAAGGAAAGTTAAAAAGTTTGTTCATTCGTTATATAATAATGTTCAAAAATATGATAACTCAGTATGTGGTAAATATATTGATCCTTCAGAAGTTTTCAAGAAAGCAAATGAAGAAGTTGATGTCACTTTTGATATGATTATTCCGGTAAATGATTTGTTAGCATTTCAGGCGTTTGATGATTATCCTAAATCATTTGGTGATATCATTCTTAAATATTATGTTTTCAGGGATACTTTAGTATTTTGTCAGGTTGACCCGTTAAGAGTTGCTGATTTACAAAATTACGTTTATGAAAAGATAACTGATGAAAATTATGAAAAGATTATGAATCATGTTTATAAATATGATCGCAAATTCCAACAAATCGGACTTCCTGCCAAATTAATTACAAGCTTAGCCGCTACATCTGCTGACGCAACAGTTGATAACGTTATTATTTCATGCACAAAGATGGAAGTTTTAGAGGATAAATGCATTACACCAGGATACGGTTTAATTGAAGAATCAGTTAAAGCAATACCACGTTTATTCAGTAAGGAAGATCCATTCATGATTCCAGCTCAACATATTGACGTTCGTTCACTAAATGGAGGTTGCATCACTCCTGAAGGTATTAGCTCAGATTTCTCATACGCTCTTCATAATGTTACAGATGTTGTGTTAGCATTTCCGAAGAATGCAATGCAAAGAACAGTTTTAGAAAATCCAATGCTTCGAGGTCTTCAGGTCACTATAGATTCCAGAAACTTCCCCGATCAAGCGATGACCACAGTGGGTGACATATTCTTTACACGTATGCTTCAAGCTTCTGATTTAGATGGAGTGAATGAATGCACGGAAGAATACGAGGACTCATTAACTAGACCACTGAATGATGATGATGGCACGCCATTAGCTAGAACATGGAAAGACCAAACTTCATTCTTATGCACTATTCCAGTTCAACGTGATGGAGCGGGTATATTCTTTGATGGATTAGAAACTTTCAACTCACAAGTTACAGTACAAGTGAAAGCTTATCCAATCATTCAGGGTGAAAATGACACTTACTGTTCAAAGGTGACAAATCCTCCTCAGGTTTGGTTTACTAGGACTACATATTGGACGTGGACACCGGATGAAGGTTTGAAATATCATCCAACAGGTACACCACCACAGTATAGAAGTTCATATGATGAAATATTGATGAATAGAAATGTTTAAAATTATAAATTTATTTTTGATTAAATGGATTTAAATTCATACACTCCTTATGAAGAATTAGCAGGAGTATATAATACATACATAGATGATATGATTAATGAAGCATTGAGTGATAATAGAAATGCTTTATCTAAGGAAAAATTAATGAAAATTCCATATTCTGAATGTTACTTAAATTCAATCACTGCAGCAATTGGTAAACAAAATAAAGGTAAAACATTAACGATATTAAAACAAATTATCATTATTGCTAACACTTCCCCCCATTCACATGTGTTAATTTATATCAACCGTTCAGGTTCACCTTCAGATGATACATTTGAATCTTTAAAGCATTTAATCAAAATTCCAATTATTTATTTATCACAAGAAGAAGCAGAAGATTATTTAAAAAACTTTTTAATGTATAAAGAATTATATAATACAATCAAAAAGCAAGGATTAGAGGATAAAATTATTGATAAACAACGGGATGAATTATTTGAAACACTTTCTATTTCAAATTTTGATAGAGAATTTTTGCATTCACTCATTTTTCTAGATGATGCAGTGAAATCAAAACTAATAACAAATGAGAAATCATATTTTAATCAGTTATTAACTCAATGTCGACACATTCAGTGTTCATTCTTTATGGCTGTTCAATATTTCAAAGCATTAAGCACAAACATTAAATCAAATCTATCAACACTTTTCATTTTCGGTGGGTTTAGTCGTCAACAGTTGAACGTTATGCTTTATCAAGTGAATTTACCAATGAGTATTAATGAACTTTACACACAATATCAGCAATTAGGTGAACATGGAAAAATAATAGTTGATTTAAATAAAGGAGGTGTTAAATTTGATTAACTTTTTTACAATTAATTTTTATTTTTTATTTATAATTAAACATGACAGAAATAGCAAATCTTCTACAGGTTCCATTAAAACAAGGGACAAACAAAAGAGGTGTATATAATAGAACTATGAAAGTTCCCGATGGAATGAAGGAATTAGTTCATATTGTTGCTGGTCTTCAAAAAGATGTTAAAAATCAACTTCATGAACAAATACAGGGAATAATAGATTCAAAAGTTCCAGCAAAATAAAAGTTTAAATATATTTTTTTATTCGAATATAAATGAGAAGACGTTTCACTAGTCAAAAGAACACTAACGCAAAAGCAGAGATTACGGTTGGTTATAACGTAAATGATGATAAATCACGAATTATTCAAAATGTTAAAGTTAATGTTAGCCCTGAATTAACAAGGTCAGCAACTCAACCAAATTTATTAACTCGTGACTTACCGAAGAATGAGGAGAATGAAGAAAACCATGAGAATGGAGACCCAATCATTTTATCTGAACCCGGTAAAGAACCCGTTGAAATTCCCACTTATCCAACATACCCCCCACCTCTTTCATCAAACATCGAGAACCCATATAAAATAGATATTAATTCTGAATTAATGAAAATTTACCGTGATATAATAATTAATAATTATGATTCAATAATAAATTTAATTGACCAATCTGGTTTAATTATTTTACCTTATGAATCATTAATTCACATTATCGCCATTCTTTGTGATGTTCAAGATTCAGACGTTAAGATTCAATTTTTCATAGATGATGAGGTTTCATGCTGCGGAACAGTTGCAAAAATAAATCCTATAAAGGATATTAGCACAATTAAGATAACAAAGAATGGAACAACAACTGAACTTCATTTAACATATAATAATATTTATAATAAAATAGTTGATGAATATAAAATATCACTTAAAAAATTCTTTGTTAAGGCTATTTAATATTCAAGCATTAACATTATTGAATAATAATCCTTTGAATCATAATCAATAATAATTGACCTTTCACCAGTTTCTATCGTTTGTTTTATTTTTTTTGTTCCCCACTATCCGGATCGGTCATTGTAATTGTTTTTGTTATAGTATCAGCTTTATCTTTAACTTCAATCTTTTTTCCATCGGGATATTTAAACCAAAATTCCAAAAATTCGATATTGTCAATCTGTTCATATTTTAATCTATCAATTACATTTTTAATACCATCTGAAAATCTTATGAAATGGTCATTATATGGGTTTGATTGAACTAAATTTGAATGAAGTGAAATATAACCTGTTGATGAATATGACACTGACTCATATTTTCTGAAAACACTAAAATTTATAACATGAATGAATTTCTTATTCGTTGAATTTATGAATTCTTGAGGTAATCTTATTCTAGTTTTATTTATCACTGGAAAATAACGCTTTACCATATTTTTAATCGTAATAAAAATGTCAATTATCAATATTATTTCGAATAATAGCTGTGAATTAAATTTAACAGTTAGCGGAATTTATAATGTTACTCTCGTTTCTGTGAGTGGTAAATTTAATCCCATTCTTTTAGACCCTTCAGATTATATATCATTTATTAAAGATGACCATGAAAAAACGTATGATATGTATATAAATAATATGATAGCGAAATGGGATATTAACATGATTTTAAGTTATTTAAATGAATCATTTATCGTATGGTATGAAGAAAATTTTAAATCAAAACCTGATAAACTTTTTGAACTTGATGAAATAAATAACCTTATTAAATTTCCGCTGAAAATTAAATTTTGTACTCCTCATCTTCGTTCATTGTTGGGGATATTAAATTTTGAAAAAGATGCTGGGGATGTTTTGTATTCTGACACTGGTTCCAATTTCATTTTAATCAAATGTGATAAAGTTAATACCCCAATGAGATTTTCACATCAAACATTAGACCCTAACTCTTACCCATCAATACAAAACATTTTATCCATCAACTTAAACACATTTTCTTTATCATATCCGTTTCAATTATCCGGGAATTCATTTATTCTTCATTCAAAAGATTTATCAAATATTAAATTTAGAATAACTGACCTATTTGATTGTGATTTAGAATTTATGAATGAAATATTATGGCAATTTCAAATAGAAAAAATAGCTGATGAGATAACGGATTAAATATTTATTTTTAAATCATAATAAACGATTAAACAACAGCAACCACAACAACTTAAGGCACAAAGCACCCAGGTCCTTCAGACCATTACATACGCCATATATGCATATAATTCGAAGATGGCAGAACAAACGCAAAGGTTGAAATATGGAGATTTGGAGATAGTATTGAAAAATGACCATTTCGAATTCGTTTGCAAAGGTGGTGCAGTGATATCAAATATAAAAGAAATTTTATTTATGAATTCAAAAATTAAAGGAATAATGGATGATATAACATCAATTCCACCAGAAGAACAAAGATATTACGCATTAAATGCATTTCCTAAAGTTTTGAAGATTGGAAGATTTAATTTAAATGAGGAATTCATAAAAGGTTTCCTAAATGACATAATGAAGAAGGCGGATAAAACATATGTGGATAGTGAGTTAAATAAGAAGGCAAATTTGGTTTATGTTGATAAAAAAGATAATGAAATTAAAGAAAAGGTTGAATGGTATCATGAATGGACATTTGAGACTTTTAAAGTTAAAGCTGATACAGGATGGGTTTCAGGATGTTTAGACCTTAAGGCAGATAAAACATATGTTAACGATGAGTTAGAGAAGAAGGCGGATAAAACATATGTGGATAGTGAGTTAGAGAAGAAGGCGGATAAAACATATGTTAACGAAATATACCAAAGTTTGATAGGAACAAAAAATATTGAAACTATTGTTGGTGACTTTTCTGTCAATGAAGAAAATAAATATTTTAGATGGCAGTTTGTACAATCCTTAAAAAATGGTACACGGTGTAAACTCATTCCGAAAAATAACAATGAAATGTATGTAAGCTATAAAAAGAATGATGGAACACAAGTTAAAGTTCCATTAGACAACAACTGCTACTTAAACTTATATGGAGACGAACAAAAGAAATATTTAAGAGTTTATGAAATGGTAGATATGACATTGCCTGACCCAGCTCCAGCACCATATTATTATGACTATGGAGATGACAACAGAACACCATATGTAGATGAACAAAAGCTAACATTATATTTAGATTATTATAGATATAAAAGATATAATGCAATAGAAAAAACGAGAATAGTATATTATTATACAGATGACAGAAATAAATATTATAGTCAAGATTTTACCTACCCTGAAAACATAAGATTATATTATAAAAAATATTCTAACACAAACCAGAAGAAACCTGAAATAGTTGCACTATATTTTAAGTTCAAAAGAGACAATCCTATAATATCTCATATGTTTGATTTAATGAACCCAGTAGGTTCTATTTATACATCTATGGATGCAAGAGGTCCTCAAGTAATGTTTGGTGTTGGTGTATGGGAACAAGTAGTCGACAGGTTTTTGTATTGTGCAAACTCTTCAAAGGAAACAGGTGGAAGTAAAACGATTTCAGGTGAAAATTTACCTGCACACAGTCATTACATAGATTTAAGTACATCTCAAGCGGGTTGGCATAAGCATAGATATTGGGATTGGTCAGGAATGACAAAAGGTAAAGTATATGATGTTAAAGATGATGTTAAGTTTGCTATAAATTGTTACTGGAGTGACACTCAGGGAGAAGGAAACCATACACATTTCGTTTCAGGATATACACAAACAACGGGACAAAGTAAAGAATACATGCCACCATTTATGACTGTATTCGCATGGTATAGAGTTCAATGAACGCTCAATGTTTGTGAAACAAACTTTAGAACGGACTGAAAGTCCTGAGCTCCAAAAGAGCGAACGGTATAATTTAAATTTTTATTTTAGTATAAATGACAAAAATAATTAAGCCAACTATTTCTAAATTAATGATACCAATGAAATCATTTCATGGAGTACTTATCCCAGGTTCTTCACAATTAGCCGGGGCAGGTGTTGTGACTCAAGGTGGAACATTAGTGAATCCATTCAAATTATTAACTAAAGATGAACTTAATAAAATGATGATAAAATAACTAATAACAAAATTTTATTTCAGTGCTATCATAAAAAACAGGTGAGATCTCACCTCTTCACCTCAACTTTATTTATTTTTATTTTTTATTTTGTATGTAAGAACAGAAATGTCGGTCGAAGCACAGACGTTCACGAACAAATCTAATGGTGAAACATTCACAAAAGGCACTTATAATGGTATTGAAGTCTTACGTAGAGACAAGGATGGTTACATTAATGCAACAAAGATGGTAAGAGAAGTGGGAAGGTTAAACCATTTAAACAGATTTCTCAATAGTACTAAAATGCAGGAAATTATTGAGTTTTGGATGAATGAATACGGTCGAGCCAAAAGTGGCTCAACCTCAAAACAAGCATTTTATGAGCTTACTAAGGGCGTTATAAATGAATTCAAAGGTATTTACATACATCCTGACCTCGTTCATTTTGTTGCTGAATGGTGCTCTGTAAAGTATGCATTTTATGTCAAAGATATTATGGACTCCATAGACAAGAAAGTTCATGAGAAATTAGATGAAGAAGAACTCGAAGATACAGTAGAGAATACTAAACATTTGTTTGAAGAAGAAGTTAGAAAAATGTGTGAAAAACAATTAGAACACGAACGTGAGATATGTTATGGTTGTAGAGATTCTCCATACGAACTAGACCAATGGGAACAAGAAGATTTAAAGAGAGAATTTAGAGAATATGAACTCGCTAAGATAGCATTAGAAACTGCAGAAAAGAAGTTAAAAGTTTGGGGTCGTTTTGTACAAAAATATTGTGAGTAAATGAACCATTTATTTTTATCATAAACGACCAAAAATATATGTTTACGTTAATGGTTTCGGGTTATTCAATAATTAATTGTTTTTGAAGAACCGAAGGTGCTACCATGTTACCATGTGCTACCAGGTCATTTAACATCTCTGAAAAAATGAGACAACATGACATTTTGACAACAACATAGGAGGAGGGTATTTATGAATTGTTTTTGAAGAACCGAAGGTGCTACCATGTTACCATGTGCTACCAGGTCATTTAACTTCTTTTAAAAATGTTGACAACATGACATTTTGACAACAACATAGGAGGAGGGTATTTATGAATTGTTTTTGAAGAACCGAAGGTGCTACCATGTTACCATGTGCTACCAGGTCATTTAACTTCTTTTAAAAATGTTGACAACATGACATTTTGACAACAACATAGGAGGAGGGTATTTATGAATTATTTTTGAAGAACCGAAGGTGCTACCATGTTACCATGTGCTACCAGGTCATTTAACATCTCTGAAAAAATGAGACAACATGACATTTTGACAACAGCATAGGAGGATTAATGCAAAAATAAATTCAAATCATACTTTATAAAGCTTCATTTACAGGTATTTCATCATCAGTAAATGAACCCTCATTATCGTTTGGTTCAACCTGTTTATATAATCCTTTCATTTCTTCTTTCAAAACATAACACCATGTTTGTTTACCGTCTATTCTTCTATGTTTCCTATCACATTTATCCTTAATACTCATTTGGAAATTCTTGTCTTTCATGTCTGATGGTTTGCAGAATAGAGCATTTTCACACGTCATACCTGCACACAATTCATCATAATGTGTATTTATCCATACATCTAAAGGATTTGTTGATAATTCTATTAAATCTTGTTTGGCTTCAGTCATCGGTATGATTCGTACATTAAATGATGAAAGGTCATATTGCATAAAATACGTCAGTAAATTATCATAAAATTCCTTAGTGCATGAATTCATCAAATTCTTGAAATAATCAAATTGACCCTTGAATTTACCATTGACCCTTAAAACCACGTATCTTCTGTCTCCAACTTCAATTTTGACAGGGTAAACGTTGTTAGTTACGAAAATGAAGTTTGCAACATTCTGAGCAGTTCTTCTGGGTTGATTCTTTTCATTAATTCTAATCTCATTATCCGTTATAATTGATTTCAAAGCGTTGAAGTTTGCGAGTCTGTCTTCACCTACATTCTTGAGTTCATTAAGTACAAAAAACATTTTATTCTCAACTACTGAATTGAAATTACCCGTTAACTCACTTATTTCAGTAATGTTTTTGCATGAATAACCAGCGAGAAGTTCAGAAATAATGTCTGTAAATCTGTTTTTACCTGTTCCCTGAAGTCCTTTCAAAATAATTGCTGTTTCATTCTTGATTCCAGGATGTTGAATCATTGATGCAATCCAGCCGAGAAGGTATTTATACACTTCATCGTTATTATCACAAATGGCTTCTTTAATGAAATTCATAAACATCTCAATTTTTGAGTAATCAAGCTTTTCGAGAATGTTGTATTTATAACCCTGAAACGTTGAGAAAACATCTGGGGAATCAGATTTAAAGCAAACACCCTTAACGGTTAATGAAGATAATTGATTTAATAGTACGTCCCATGCTGTTATTGTTTTACCTTCTTCTTTAAATAATTTAATCATTTTAAGTGACTCTTTCATGTTTGATTGAAGAACGAATGATATTTGATTCATTTTGTTGTGGATATTATAGTCCTTTTGAATGAAATATTTGTTTCCACAATCTACAAAACGGATTACACGTGATAAATCCTCAATTACTTCAGAACTGTTTTTATACTGATGATTTTCAGCCTTGCGTCTAATATCTGTTATCAAAAACGAGTCATCAAGTTTGATATCAAATGTTATTTTTGGCTTACGTAATAATGGCAAAACATATTCATCATAATATTCCTTTTGATATAGTTTTAGAATCTTCACCAAAACAAATGGAGAAGTCATTAAATGTGCATATCTACTACGTGCTTTTTCAAAATTACTTTTTGCATTTTCTGTTAAACTGCAGAAGTTATAAACGTTATCGTATGCTTCATTAATCAAATGATTAGGTAACGAATTAATTGCTTGAAACAGTGTGAATAATGTAACTTCTTTTTCTAAATTCATGTTTCCACCGTCATTATGTACTTCAAAATCACAGATGCCATCAACTATGCTCTGGGCAAGTTTATCGTCAATGTTTACATCTTTGTTTTCATTCATTATACTCTTTATTTCTTCGTTCTTCTGTTCAACTCTTACCTTAATATTCAAATCATTTAATATATCATTCACTGTTCTGGTTATGGTCGAGTCATAACTTCCACGAATGAATGAGTATGTATTGATTGGTTCTGTTGCATTCTTGCGAACTCTTGAATCAGCCATAACTACTAATGAACGCTTTGAATCAGCCATAGAAGTCATTATGTCAATATCATAATCATTGCAGGAATAGCATTTAATCATTCTGTTCGAAACTGCATAGAAGAAATTAGTGTTGCAATAAATGTGAAGACCTCCTGAAGCGGTTTTAACTATAACGTCTTTATCCAAAAGTTTTGATAGAATGTCTTTTCTAACTGTTTCTTTAAGTTCATCATTGTACGATTTATTGATATCAACATCTATAATAGTTAAATTCGAAATTTTATTTACTAATAAAGCCATACCAGTTTTCCTTCCTCTTCCTCCATCATGTTTGAGGTAGTTATGTAAATCAATCTTGTTTTCACCAATTCTTTCGTTGAGGGTTTTAGTTTCTGCCACAACTAATTCCTCAGCTAATGAATCAATAACTTTTTCATCAGAAACGATATAGTTGCTGTTGTTGTTTGTTGCCGTCATTTATATAGGAATAAAAAAATAAAAATAACTTTAAAACTAACTTTATTTTTGGACTGCATCATATTTCCTATGTTGTTGTCAAAATGTCATGTTGTCTCATTTTTTCAGAGATGTTAAATGACCTGGTAGCACATGGTAACATGGTAGCACCTTCGGTTCTTCAAAAACAATTCATAAATACCCTCCTCCTATGTTGTTGTCAAAATGTCATGTTGTCAACATTTTTAAAAGAAGTTAAATGACCTGGTAGCACATGGTAACATGGTAGCACCTTCGGTTCTTCAAAAACAATTCATAAATACCCTCCTCCTATGTTGTTGTCAAAATGTCATGTTGTCTCATTTTTTCAGAGATGTTAAATGACCTGGTAGCACATGGTAACATGGTAGCACCTTCGGTTCTTCAAAAATAATTCATAAATACCCTCCTCCTATGTTGTTGTCAAAATGTCATGTTGTCTCATGGTAACATGGTAGCACTGAAAAAATTAAATTTGGATTGAGTTTAAAAATTCATCTTTATTAAATTCATCTCTTCCAATCAATTTATTTATTCTATTAAATTCTTTTATTTTTGCTTCACTCAGTTTAATGATTGAACGGTAAGTTTCTAATTTTTCGATTATTTCTTTCCTCTCTTTATCGTTTTCAACCCCACCACATTGCGGCTTCTTTTTGTAATAGCATATTTTTGATTTAATTTTGTTTAGTTTCTTTTTATATTCATCGTCTGGACTCTTGGCTGCTTCGTTGTCACTCATTTCTTACGAAATAAAAAATTAAATATTATTTAAATATAATGGAGTAATAAAATAAATCGGAATTTCTATTAATTTATTGTTAACTTCAACTAATACATTACCGTTAATATATCTAACAAATTCAGCTATTGTGTCAAATCTTCGTCTTCTTTTTATCATTGATTTATCAGTTTTTCCATAATCGAGATGAATCAAAACTTTATCCCCTTGTTTAAAATTCATGAGCCCCGAATTAATTTGTTCACGTTTAACATCATTTAACCTTTCCATTTGCTTTCTAATATATTCCCATTCTTTTG